GGGCACTATTCCTCCCACTGACATCAATAATGGGGCATCATTCCATCCGCTGACACCAATGATGGGGCACTATTCCACCAACTGACACATTGATAGGGTACTTTTCCTTCCATTGACACCAATGATGGGGCACTATTCCTCCCACTAACACCAATGATGGGGTATACTTTCTTCCACTGACACCAATGATAGGGCTCCATTCAGGGGCGTATTTACCACAAGGCAAACAAGGCATTTGCATAGGGTGGCATTTTTTCACAGGGGCAGCGGCATTTTTCAGGGGGGCAGCAGCACCCCCTGAAAGAAGAGATGGAAGAAAGGACACACGCAGCAGGGGACCAGGTGAGATCTGAGAGAGGCTGCGGGCTGCTTGATGGTGTATGCAGAGCCTGACTCTTGTTCCCGGAGCAGTGAAGGTGTCTTCTCTCTCCCAGGGTGGGGTTGCTAGTGTGTATGGGGCGGTGTTAGTGGAAGGTTCTCTCAGGTGGGGTGTTGTCGGTCAATGTCAGGCTCAGGGGGGTGTTTGTCAGTGTTAGGGTCTCTCCATGTGAGGGGGGGAGCCAATTTTTCTGTTGCCTGGGGCAACACAAAACCTAAATACACCACTGGCTCCATTCCATCCACTGACACCAATGATGGGGTACTATTCCTCCCACTAACACAAGGATGGGGTATTCTTTCTTCCACGGACAGCAATCATAGGGTCTATTTCATCCACTGACACCAATGATGGGGCACTATTCCTCCCACTAACACCAACGATGAGCACTATTCCTCCCACTGCCACCAATGATGGGGCTTTCTTGTCATTGGACTATTCCTCCCACTAACACCAATGATGGGGCACTATTCCTCCCACTGATACCAATGATGGGGCACTACTCCTCCCACTGACACCAATGATGGGGCACTATTCCTCCCACTGACACCAATGATGGGGCACTATTCCTCCCACTGACAATAATGGGTTCTCTTCCTTCCACTGATACCAATGATGGGGCACTATTCCTCCCACTGATACCAATGATGGGGCACTATTCCTCCCACTGATACCAATGATGGGGCACTATTCCTTGCACTGATACCAATGATGGGGCACTATTCCTTGCACTGATACCAATGATGGGGCACTATTCCTCCCCACTGATACCAATGATGGGGCATTATTTCAACCATTGACACCAATGATGGGGGGGACTATTCCACCCACTGACAACAAATATGGGGTATTTTTCCTTCTACCGACCCAATTATAGGGCACCATTCCATCTACTGACACCAATGATGGGGCATCAATTCCATCAGTGATGGAGCATCAATCCCATCCACTGACACCAATGGCGGGGCTACAATTCCATCCGCTGACACCAATGATGATGCCCTTATCCTCCCACTGATACATTGTTTACTTCCACTAACACCTGGGGCATTTTCTACTCCCAAAGGCCACAGTCTGGTCCCCTTAAAGCCTGAAGGACAGTAAAATGGCCCTTTGTATAGAGAGTTTGGAGACCCCTGTTCTGGAACAAGCGAACGGTCTGTTTGCCTTCATTAAATCAACCACTCTGTTTTGCCAGGGCCAACAGCCAACAACAGTCTGCCAGTTCAGCAGGGACTGTCAGAACAAAACGTCCCTCATCATTTGTGTCTGCTCACTTTGTTTTGTTCAACCTGCTGGCTAAATGTGACAAAAGATACCCGTCTATGGCCAGTATAGAGCTGTGTCAGTCCCCAGGCAGATGGTCAGACACACCCTCTCCTTCCCTTCCCTTCAGAGTCCTCAGCCCCCCCCCCCGCCTTCCTCTCACATCAGAGTCCTCAGCCCCCCCCCCCCCGCCTTCCTTTCACATCAGAGTCCTCAGCCCCCCTCTCCTTCCTTTCTCTTCAGGGTCCTCAGCCCCCCCTCCTTCCTCTCACATCAGAGTCCTCAGCCCCTCACCTTCTCCCTCTCCCAACAGAGTCCTCAACCCCTCCCCTTCTCCTTCCTCTCACAACAGAGTCCTCAGCCCCTCCCCTTCTCCTTCCTCTCACAACAGAGTCCTCAGCCATCCTCTCCTTCCTTTCACAACAGAGTCCTCAGCCACCCTCTCCTTCCTTTCACATCAGAGTCCTTAGCCCCCCCACCTCTTTACATCAGAGTCCCACCTTGCGATCTTCACACTCAAACTTGCGGCCCTGAACACTGTCTGCCCTGGACTGGTGTCATGCATTTCTATGGTGCTGGCTGACAGCACTTCTGCACCATAGAAGTGCATGACACTGCAAAAATATAGGGCACTGCTCTACACCCCTGACAAACCCAGACGGCACCCCAATTTAGAGAAACAAATTATCAGTGACAGCTCCTATACCTCTGTAGTCACTCTCCAGTCTATGTAATATATATAGTGAAGGAAATTAAGTATTTGATCCCCTGCTGATTTTGAATGTTTGCCCACTCACATAGAAATGATCAGTCTAAAAATGGAATGTTCGGTGTATTGTAACACTGAGAGACAGAATAGCAACACAAAATTCAAAAGAAATGCATGCCTAACAAATTATGCACTGATTTGCATCATTGGAAATTCATGAGGGAAATAAGTATTTGATCCCCTATCATTCATCAGGATTTCTGGCTACCAGGTGTCTTTCATACAGGTAACAAGCTGAGATTAGAAGCAGTCTCTTAAAGGGAGTGCTGCTAATCTCATTTTGTTACCTGTATAAAAGACACCTATCCACAGGAGCAATCAAACAATCAGAGTCCAAACTCTCCACCATGGCAAAGACCAAAGAGCTGTCCAAGGATGTCAGGGACAAGATTGTAGACCTACACAAGGCTGGACTGGGCTACCAAACTATCGCCAAGCAGCTTGGTGAGAAGGTGACAACAGTTGGTGCAATCATTTGCAAATGGAAGAAACACAAAAACAACTGTCAGTCTCCCTAGGTTTGGTGCACCATGCAAGATCTCACCTTGTGGAGTGTCAATGATCATGAGAACAGTGAGGAATCATCCCAGAACTACACGTGAGGATCTTGTCAATGATCTCCAGGCAGCTGGGACCACAGTCACCAAGAAAACAATTGGTAACACACTACGCCGACAAGGATTGAAATCCTGCAGTGCCCACAAGGTCCCTCTGCTCAAGAAAGCACATGTCCAGGCCCGTCTGAAGTTTGCCACTGAACATCTGAATGATGCAGAGGAGGACTGGTTGAAAGTGTTGTGGTCAGATGAGACCAAAATCGAACTCTTTGGCATCAATTCAACTTTCTGTGTTTGGAGGAGGAATGCTGCCTATGACCCCAAGAACACCATCCCAACTGTCAAACATTGTGGTGGAAACATTCTGCTTTGGGGGTGTGTATCTGCTAAGGGGACAGGACAACTTACAGCATCAAAGGGACGATGAACGGGGCAATGTACCATCAAATCTTGGGTGAGAACCTTCTTCCCTCAGCCAGGGCATTGAAAATGGGTCGTGGATGGGTGTTCCAGCATGACAATGACCCAAAACACACGTCCAAGGCAACAAAGGAGTGGCTCAAGAAGAAGCACATTAAGGTCCTGGAGTGGCCTAGCCAGTCTTCAGACTTTAATCCAATTGAAAATCTGTTTAGGGAGCTGAAGGTTCGAGTTGCCAAACGTCAGCCACCAAACCTTAATGACTTGGAGAGGATCTGCCAAGAGGAGTGGGCCAAAATCCCTCCTGAGATGTGTGCAAACCTGGGGGCCAACTCCAGGAAATATCTGACCTCTGTGATTGCCAACAAGGGCTTTGCCACCAAGTACTAAGTCATGTATTGTGAAGGGGATCAAATACTTATTTCCCTCATGAACATGCAAATCAGTCATCATTTGTTAGACATGCATTTCTGCTGAATTTTTTGTTGCTATTCTGTCCCTCAGTTGTACAATACACCGAACATTCGATTTTTAGACCGATCATTTCTTTGTGAGTGGGCAAATATTCAAAATCAGCAGGGGATCAAATACTTATTTCCTTCACTGTACATCCATTAAACAATGCAGAATAAAGATAGGCTACACTAGCTTCCTATACTTCCCTTCACACCTTTGTTCAGCCGCTGGGAGCACAGAAAAATACCCGGTACTTCTGAGACCAAATGACTCCCCTTCCTCCTGCGTGACCCGGCTGGTACTTGGTGACTGGCCACTCAGTCCTGTTACTGGCCCCCCTTCACTGTTACATGAGATAGGAATCCCTTCCTCACCACCTGTTTTAATCCCATCACTGCGCCACCATCATAGGCATTGCACACGGTGGCAGATCGCCCCATTCACTTGAAGTGCTGCCCATCGAGCACAAGAGAGAGTATGCACAGTGGCTAGATGGTTAGCACTTCCGCCTGGCAGTACTCGGGTCGTTGGTTCAAATCCCAGCCATGGCACCACCTGCCTGGAGTTTGCATGTTCTCCCTGTGCCTGTGTGGGTTTCCTCCGGGTACTCCAGTTTCCTCCCACACTCCAAAGACATGCTGGTAGGTGAATTGGCTCTGGTCTAAATTGTCCCTAGTATGTGTATGTATGAATGTAAGTTAGGGACCTTAGATTGTACGCCCCTTGAGGGTTAGGGACTGATGTGAATGTACAATATATATGTAAAGCACTGTGTAAATTGATGGCGCTATATAAGTACCTGAAATAATAATAATTCTTGCTGCAGCAACTATACAACCCATCCAGCTGCCTTTTCAGCCTAAGGGGGGTGTAAAAACCACCCCTCCCCCACAGCAAGTGTTAACCAACTCCTAGGCCCATTTCACACAAGGGATCCACCTGTCCGTTTTTCAGGCAACCCAATCAGGCCCTCCATTCTCCTCTATGGGCAGTCAGATATAAACAGACCGGCTGTCCATTTACACCGGCTACCCCTGATCTCATCAAAAACAAACGTAAGTGGATCCATTCCCCTCCATCTGGCTGGATCAGATCAGACGGTAGTTGGGTGTAAACAGATAGCCAGTCTGTTTATGTTCACCTGCCCATAGAGAAAAGTGTCCTGTGAAGGAACGGACTGACAACTCATGGGGCCCCCGGGCAATAGGGGATCATGGGGCCCCTGTGCCCTTGCCCAAACTCATAAAAGCCTATGAAAAAGGTACCAGGGGCATCTCATGGGGCCCCCTACTGACCTCGGGCCTTCGGGCAGTGCCCCAGTTTCCAAATGGTCAGTCCGCCCCTGGTCCTGTGTCTATGTCTGCTCTGTATACGTCGGGTGGACACAGAGCTGTCATCCGCCAGGTCCACTCAGCTCAGCAGGATCACACCACTGCGGTTTAAAATCACGTGATTTGTGTGCGATTTCTGAAGTCCTCATTGCGACTTTTCTACGATTTCTTGCGATTTGCATTGCAATTTCCATTATACAGGCGTACCTCGGTTTACGAACGCCTCGGTTAACGTAATTTTCGGTTTACGAATGAAAATCCATTGAAAATCATGCCTCGGTTTACACATTTTTTTCACAATATGAAGCAAGTTTCCCCAGGATGCATTGCGCCTGGGAGGTTTATAGCGCCGGCCCCGCGCCTTTAACCACTTTAACCATTTATTATGTACATGGGTCGGACGGGATCAGTGCAGTAGTGGGTGGTCGTTTATAAACTTCCTCCTGCTTCCTGCTTGTGCGCGCCCCCTGGGAGTGCGCAACACCTCGATCCGGTGCCTGCTGTGTCCTCCGGAACACGATTGCTGTATGGGACCTCTGTACGAGGTCCTGATCATGTGATCACTGATTGGCCAATCAGTGATCACATGAATAGTAGTAAGCAAGATGTCACTTCCTGACATCATTGCTTACTACGTGTGAAATATGTGAATGATCACAGAGGTCACATGGTACAAGGCTATTCACAACAGCCTTGTACCATGTGACAAGCTGTGACCAATCGCAGCTCTCACAGTATTTCTCAGTGGCTGCAAGAATGCAGCCAGAGAGGAGAAATTATTGCTTTAACAGCCTTTATGGGTAAAAAAGCAATAAAAATAAAAAATCACCCCCCACAATTAGTACAGTGTTACTATGGTGACACTGTACTGCTAAGGTGACAGTATGTTAAAAAAAAACATAAATAATATTAAAAAAGTAAAAAAGAATTTTGAAAAATTATAATTTTTGGTTATAAACTAATTTGGGTTATTTATTTATTTTTTACTAAAAAGATAACCGAATAAATTTTGGCCAAGATTTATGAAGAAAAATTGTTTATTTGCAAAATTGTATAAGAAAAATACTTTTTTTCCAAAATGTTTGGACTTTTTCATTTAAAAATAAAAAAAAATAAAACTCCCAGTGGTGGATAAATGCCACCAAAATAAAGATTTATCTGTCTCAAAAAAATGCTAAAAAATTCATATGGGTGCAGTGTTGCATGACCGTGCAATTGTCATTCAAAGTGTGATAGCACTGAAAGCTGAAAATTGGCCTGGAGAGGAAGGGGGTGAAAGTGTCCGGACTTGAAGTGGTTAAAGTGCACTTTATAAAGAGTTTTGAACAGATAAAACTTTTTTTTCTTTTTTTTTGACCTCCGGAACAGATTAATTGATTTTCAATGCATTTACAATTTTTTTTGCAATACGCAGCAAGTTTCCCCAGGATGAATTGCGCCTGGGAGGTTTATAGCGCCGGCCCCGTGCATGCTGGAGTCTGTGGGTAGCACGTGGCGTCAAGGTTGGAGGTGTTGGAGCGGTTTTTGCATCGCGTTTTGGAGCCATTCTAGAAATTTTTAATCATGTCCCTGTACAGTATTTATGCCTTTAAAGTGCACTTCATAAAGAGTTTTGAACAGATAAAAGACTTTTTTTTTTACTTTTTTCTGACCTCAAATTAATTGGTTTTCAATGCATTCCTATGGGAAACCGTGTTTCGGTTTATGAATTTTTCACAATACGCAGAACGCATTAAATTCGTAAACCGAGGTACGCCTGTATTAAGATTTATAGGTAAAATTGATCCAGGGAATATCCGATTGCCTCTCAGGAGAAATTTGTATACCGAGCTACGCCTGTATTTTATGTATGCAAAATCGCAAGAAAAAGTAAAGCAAGAACTACTTTAGAAATCGCACATTAAGACACTGACATTCACACTCATTAGATCCAATTTCAGGTGCGATTTCAGTGCAAATAATAAAGGTGCAGCGCTAAGAGTAGGAGTAATATCATGCAAATATCAACAGGGAAAGAAAACAGAGATTAAGAAACATACAATGTGCAAATTGGTTATCAAGGGCACATTGGGTAATATAAAATTATTGGTAAAAAAAATCAATATAGTGTCCAAATCACAAGAAATGTGAGTATATAGGAATCTTGCAGGGTCCCATCTATCGGTGAAGATAAGTGATCCAAAGGTGAAGATAAATAAATAAGTGGAATGCGCACTCACCAGAAGTGCGTTTAAAATACGCATGAAAAGAAGTTTCCTCTATCAACAGATACATCAAGGTCATCTGCGTTCTGGTCAGGCTGCACTCCCAAACATCCTTTGGTCATCCGTTATGACAGGGCTCCAGGGTTCATCAGACAATCGCACACATCCGGGGTCCCCTTTTAGAATAGGCACTGCGGAGGGTGGCGCTCATAAACAGAAGATTCAGGATGGCCACCTGCGGTGGCTTGATGTCCAAGTGCTGTAGCCCCTCTGACACGTTTCACACCTGAAATTGCACTGGTATGACCGGGCACTACAACAGCAATGCAGCAGTGGCACATGTTCAATGGCACGTCACATTTGACAGGTGGTACCGGTGCCAAACGTGACCCATTCAACTGAATAGGGCCACACTGCAACCAAGTGCAATGCATATATTTCGGGTGTGGTGGTTCAACATTTTGAGTCTTATGCAGGCCATACACGGGTCGAATTCCGAACTAATTTTCTTTAGAAAATCGGATATTTTGTAATGCGATGATGCCACCATTGATTTCGAAATTCAACCAACCAAGCCTTCAATTTCTCCTCGTGTTGCTACAGAAAAGAATTTTTGTGGCCAAGAATTTTCTTTTCTTTCCAGGTCACAGCTTTATATTTCTTGCACGATTCTCCCATCATTGATTCGAAATTTGTTCGTTTTTCAAAAATTTTCCAATTGCCCAATCACTCAAATTCGATGGTCACGCGAAAATCGGCGAAATGGTGCGAAATTTGAACGAAAATTCTTAGAAAAGATTTTCGAAAGAAAATTCTTTCGGAATGCGACCCGTGTATGGCCGCTTTAAACCAGGTGGCATGGAGGCGACATATCAATGCCTCTGAAAAGCAATCCGCCACGAATCGCATTTCAGAGGGGCGGCAGTCTAGTTGCACATATGGACGAACCCTTACAGTAGTAGATCTGCATTGTTTAGTCTGGCAAACTAACAGTAAGTAATCTGTATCTGCAGATATCTTCAGGAATATATGGCTGAGATTTCAAAACAACAGAAGATACAATGGAAACCAACCTGGACTTCTTCATCTCCATTTTTACCATGAATGGGAGGAAATGTACACAATCCAGTAGTCTCTGTGAAGTGACAATCTTCGTAAATATCCAGCAACTCAGATTATTATTATACTTATTGTATGTTGTTAAATAATAAATTGCATCTATTACATGTACCATGGCTAAGTTATGAAATGTGAGCTTGGACCACTTACCATGGATGGATGGATGGATCATACGAGTTTCTTCACATTAAATGGACGACTTTTAACGCTACCCTCCAGGCAGATGCTTTTGCACCATCCAATTTCCCGTAATGGAAAACGCGCTGTGGTTTCTGATGCGTGGGGGTGCCGTTAGCTGTGGGATCAGATGCGATTACCTGCTGTCCCGCACTTGCAACTATCTGCACAAGTGTGAACTTAGCCTGAAGGTAAGTATTTAGGTAGGTGGCTTTGGCTGAGAAAGGAAGGGGGGGGGGGGGGGCAGGGAGGTAAAGGACAACTGCATTAAAAGGTGTATCTATGGTCACAATTTAAAATCATTTGCTGTTATGGATCCGGGTATGACCAGAAATGTGTGGGAACACAGGGCTGGAGAGGTGGCATGGTCAGGCAGGCTGTTAGGTACTGTCAGGCACCGCCCAGCGGGATCTCTAGTACCCACAGAACGGGATTCCCCAGGGCGCGGAGTCTAAGCCCCAGTCTGCCTGATGATGTGGGGATGAACTTGGCGCAGGACTGAGACCAGGTCGCAGCCCCTGAGTGCACCCAACTGTGGTAGAGGGGTCCGCCGAGGGTATGTACCGGGGGAAAGTCTGACATGGAGAGGCTGGCAGACCTGGTAACAGGGACAGATCCGTGCGGGATGGATGGATGGATCGTCTGGGTAGCGTCAGGCGTAGTCAGGCAGGTTAGGTCAGCAACGTGCGGGCAGCGAGGTACCGGAGGAGCAGGCAGAGAATAGTCAGGGTCACAAGCCGGGTTGAGTAACTCACGGGCAGCGCGGTACAGAGGATCAGGCAGAAGGATGGTCAGGCAAGCCAGGGATCAAGCAGGAGAAGTCAGCAGAGGTCAGGATCAGGCAGGGTTGGCAACAAATCAGATAGTCAGCAGAACAAGAACACAGGATACACGGTACAGGGGGCTCATGGGAAATATACACCAAGGCACTGACTGCAGGTCTGGCCATTCCTTAAATACACCTTCTGCAATCAGCCCCAGGTGTTGGCTGATTGCAGGAGCAAGCTTCTGGCTGCTGAGAGCACCCGCTGGTCAGCCCTGGTACTGCAGCCCACACGGCAGGTGAGTCCCACCACCAGTGCTGAGTCCATTCCTGACATTTGCACACTGAATTTCAATTATTTCTTGCATTCTTCTATTAATCTGAGCACTCTTGTAAACTTCCTTGACCACATATTCATTATGATCCGTGAGTAGGCACTGCTGTGTCACACATTTCATCGAGCCTGCCTTCTGAACTACAGAGGTGCTGAAAAGAGGAGCTTCAGGAGGCAGAGTCAGTACAGGAGTCATTGATTGCGGGCAGCAAGGTACCATGTGATACGTAGTCCTTAGAAATTGAGGAAAAGCTGCAAAACATGGAGGGAATCCAGGAAGTTGTGGAAAGAGACGGCCAAGAGACAGGCACCACTCCCAACATGAAAGGAGATTTTTCAAGTCACAGGTTAATTGGTCACAGGTGCTCCAGGTACTATATAACTATATGTAGAGCTCATAGTGAGCTTGCCTGTATTTTGCTTGCTGA